TTTTTTTTTTTTTTTTTTTAGCAATTTCATTATAAAGTTATTCTTCATATGGGCAAAAAGAAAAAAAATAAATTGCTCTTGGGTTCCCCTTGGTGGCCGGGGTAGGTCATGTTTCACCGTTTAGTATGAGCTGCTGTGCTTTTCATATTCAAACCTCCAAAACAAAGTGGAAGATAAGCTAGCAAAACAGTGTCGCAAAAAATAACTTCTTCTTCAGGGAGAGAGAAAAAGCGGAAGATTAGGAAAAAAGGCATGTTTGTATGTCGCTTGGTAGATGAGAATTAGCTAAAAGAAAATTAGCTTGGTAGCGACCTTGAACAGTCCAGTTCAACAGGCAAACATTTATGCTATGTCAGTAGAAATCACCCTACCTAACTTTTACTTCAACATTTTTACAGTGCTATTATCATTAGATTTACTGACATTAATCAAATAGAATATAACGAAGCATGACAAAATAGGATTATTTTATTATCACCATGCATTCACAGACCACATGAAGAAATCTAAATAGTTACTCAACAGCACTACGCAGGTAACGACAGCTTACGTAAGAATTGCGGTCCTCTTATTTATGGTTGTGTTGGCAGCCCTCGCAGTTATCCCTCAGATGTCGATCCCTGCCCCAAGTTGGTATTGTGTGTCAGGTTTCATTGAGCCACATGTTGGATGCTAAACAACTCTCTGGTTTAGTCAAAGTTTTGCTCTAGTATGTTCTGGGCCTAAAGCCACAAAGTTATAAGTAGAAAATCTTGGAACCGCGAGTGGATATTAAAGGGGTTGTTTGTGTGTGGTGAGGAGAAAGATATTTTTGAACACATTTGCTGCTGTGACTGCAATCAAGTGAATAAGTCATGGACTGTTTTTAATGTTGTGTTTTCCTACAACCAGCTATGCCTCATTTATGTGAACCCTTACAAATAGATGGAAGTGATAGTCTTCTTGGTGAGCCATTATAGTTCTAGTTCACAGACCTTTATACCAACATTGCATTTTTCAAAGCACCTTTACCTTTCTAATCTCTTGTGCTTTGTCCCTTCTCAGAAAGTGCTTGAGTCTGTAGGTGCGGGAGTGGACGCTGAAGCTGCTATACTCAATAAAACCTTTTCCACGAACTGGGATATGGCCAGTGCTCTTTTCTTCTCAGGGACAATAATGACTACCATCGGTAGGTGTCTGCTGAAACATTCACCGTGTCGTATATATATATATAACTGCGTTGACTTAAATAAGCTGCTGCCTCACCTCTGACTTGACATGTACAGGCTATGGAAACATCTCCCCCAAGTCAGATGGAGGAAAGCTCTTTTGCATCTGTTTCGCCCTCGTGGGAATCCCAATGTTCGGCATCCTGCTTGCTGGGGTTGGTGACCATCTCGGTACCTGGCTGAGAAACACTGTTGCCAAAATAGAGAAGCTCTTCCTGGTCAGAAGCTTTCATAGTATTGAAAACACTTCCTTTCATTTTAAGTTTTTCTTTGTCTTATACCACGTTATCTCGCTTTGTTGACAGAAGTGGCGCGTCAGTCCTACTGTTGTGCGTGTGATCTCAGCAGTCCTGTCCATCCTGCTGGGTTGCTTGCTTTTTCTTGCTGTGCCCACTTTGGTTTTTCAAGAGGTGGAAAACTGGTCCCTTCTGGAATCTTCCTACTTTGTGGTTATCACACTGACCACAGTGGGCTTTGGTGACTATGTTGCAGGTAAACAAACAGTTCTGACTTACCTGTCATTCGTTAACGTATTCTTAATTAGTGGGAAACTGGACTTATTCTCTTGTTTGTTTGTTTTTTGTTTTTTTGTTTGCTGATGTTTCACTTCTCTTTCAACATGCTTCTTTAGTTGCCTGCTACTTAAGTAATTAGGACTGTCATGTCTTGGATGACTGAGTAGCTTCCCTAGAGCATTTTCTTCTAAAGCGGCACTTTTCCCCAAAAGAGACTCCAATATGCTTTGATATATGTCTTTAAATTTGGCCATTGGACCATTTTTGCGGAAATATTAAAGCAACATCACAAGACATGAGCCAGGAAGCTAAAGCATTTCTTCCAGTTGGAGAATGTTCCCATGCATAGACAGTTTTGTTTCAAATTTGCTTTACTACAACAAAGTCAGTTTTTGTAAAAGGCCATCACTCTGATCTCAACCCAATAGAAAATTCATAGGTAAAGTGTTTGCGAGCAAGACAGTCTACAATCCTGACTCTGTTATGCTAGTTCTGTCAAGAGGAATCGGCCAAAATTACAACAAACTACTGTGAAAAGCTTGTAGGAAGCCCAAAATCTTAGACTCAGTTTGAAGACCTTTTATCCAAATGCTAAGGAGACATATGTAAACTTCTGAATTTGAAGAGAGTTTAAAAATATTCCAAAATTAAAAAAAATCTCTCGTTCATTATTCTGGTATTTGGCAAAAAGAAACATTCATCCTAACTGTCCTAAAATCGCTCACGCTTTCTTTGATTTAATGTCAGACTGCATAGGGACTCAAGTGAACAGACGCGTTTGATCATTTTTTGGTATGTTTTTGATGAAATTATTAATCTGTAGACAAATAGCAATGTGACTTAATAAGTCATCCATAAATACATGTCAGTTGCAATGCATTAAGTTCTGTAATGCACAGACAGCATCATTAATTATTCAAATATTTTGTGCGAGGAATATTATTAGGAATTATTGATTACTTTGTCTCATATGGATGGATGGATGGATGGATGGATGGATGGATGGATGGATGGATGGATGGATGGATGGATGGATGGATGGATGGATGGATGGATGGATGGATGGATTTCGTTAACATTTTCCCTTGTATACTTTGTATTTGTATCAAAGGGGAAGGTGAATTTATGACCCGCATAGGAGAGAACCTTTTGCCAGAGTACTGGTACAAGCCTTTGGTGTGGTTCTGGATCCTCCTGGGTCTTGCATACTTTGCTTCCGTCCTGACAATGATCGGTAACTGGCTCCGGGTTCTATCAAAGAAGACCAGGGCTGAGGTACTTCCTTTCTCTGTATTTTTCCTGCACATCATCCTTTGTTTTAACAAGGGAAGGTACTATGGTAGATGATGGTGAATGGTTTCAAGTGTTTCTTGGGTCTCTTTCCATCTACTGTATGGACTACCATGAGCTACATCAGCTCCAGTGTCTTGAGTTACCATTACCAATAACATTACAAGAGTGTTTTGGCTTTGAAGAGACTGTTCTGCATGTAAAGCATGAAATAACTAAAACATAAGGGATATTTAATTTCAAAAGTAGAGTTTAAAAATGTTGAGACATTGCGTACAGATCTTAAAGTTTTTGTTTCTATTTCAGATGGAGGAACTGAGAGCCCATGCCACAGACTGGACCCAGAACATCCAGAACATGTCCGTGGACTTTCGTATTCCAGGAAATTTAGATGACCCTTTCAAGCGTCGCCGACGAAAGCACCGCCATCGCAGCCATGGTCACAGTCACAGTCACGGTCACAGCCACTCGGCCAACGGGGCCCCAGGAGAAAAACAAGAGCAAAACCAGAGTCAGAACGAATCTGGATCTTACTCTTCTTCCTATTCTTCTTCTGAATCAGAATCCGGATCTGGATCAGAATCAGAAACAGACTCTCAGGCCACGCAGACCGACCGGGTTCCAGGGACGGAGGCTCCTCCGGACCCTGTCCAGCCGCAGCCTCTGGACTACTTGGCGGAGAACCTTGCCTTCATTGACGAGTCCTCGGACGCCCAGAGTGGCAAAGTGCAACTAGAACCAGTACAAGAATCAAAACAACCCAATTCTCGTCAGGCAAAGAGGAGACGCCACAGGCGGCCAACTAATAGGAGAAGCTCTAAAACCAACTACTCCCACAATAACAAAAGGCAACCCAATGGAAACACAACACCTGTCCCAGATCTTCCAAAAAAGCCCCTGGACTGAGAGTACTAACACCTTATGAGACCCTGCTGACGGAGGAGGTCTCAGTCCAGCAGTTCCTTTATGTGTAACTGCTGCCTATATACTGTCAGTTAAAACAAAGACACAATGCTGATGCCTTATAAACCTTTGTGTGGTTTGCCATATAACTTTTCTCTTTGCATGTGAGTGCATATGCAGCAAATGAAAAGATTAAGATGCCATAGGCTTGACGACTTTGTGAGGAGCTACTGCTCTCTACTGGCCTAAAACGGTATTGCACTGATCACCACTGTGTCAAAATGAACCACTTTTTTTAAATAATCCGGGTACTGCAACCCGATTTGTGTCGTCAGAAACTTGCTACATCAGTGTGAAACTCAATTTAGAGGAATGTTGCTGTTACCCGAGTCCATTGTCCTTGAATCCTGCCAACAATCAAACAGATTTACTTTTTGCTACCTAACGAGTTTGTAAAAATAATATGCATAGCCATCCATTTGCATTTTTGATGGTCAGATTCATCAGTGCTACTATTCTGCATAAGTGCATTAAATAACTTTTCAAAAACAAATTGTTGTTGTTGTTGTTGTTAAATACTGTTCTATTTCTTAGATTCCACCAAAAACATGCTGCTTGATAAAAAAAACAAAAAAACAATGGCAATTTTTTCCAAAAGAACAGAGCCTTGCATAAGAATTGATACACCTTTACATTTTTTGTCATCTATCCATTGTTTACACTTGCTGGTGCTTATCTCCAGTGGTGCCTAGACTGGTCTTCTGACTGGACGCTGTGAGAGCATTAATATCGAGGTGCAATTCGTTGTTTGTTGGCCAATAAATTTGATTCTGACTAAAAAGAGCATGTCGACTCAACAAACAATGGCTTTAAAGGAGACTTAAAAAAATAGGAGGAAAAAATGTCTGTTGAATATTTAAAAGGCAACGTAATCCAAAGATTGAGAGAACACAACAGGAAAACCCTCATCTCCGCTAAGGTTCTACCAAATGAGATGTGCTCTAGTCTGAGTTCAAATTAAAAGACAGTCAGGATGATTTTTAAACAAGCCAAATACGTGAAAAAGGTTGTTGACTGACACCAGCATAAAGTTGATTGCAGTTGTCGAGACATGTTGAGTGTAAGGCGCCTATTGTTTTCACGAAGACATGCCTCAACAAAACTGAGTGTTTGTCAGAACTTTAAGAAAAATTCCTTTTTTGACAAACAGAGCGGATCTGTTTATTAAATTTAAAATTTGAGTCTATAATTAATTACTCTCAAATGTGATACATGCAATTTGATGTACTCAAACCAACCAAAATCAATAACCGAGTTATATTATAAAATCCTGCTTAACTTCCAGGGAGACCTGAAATGACTGTTTACAGAAGCTTTCCTAAAGTCAGGCTCGCTAGCAAATTAAGTTTCTTAACCTTGAGACAGTCGTTGCCACTGAACAACACATTTTATCTTTGGTTAAGGAAAATGTTCAGAATTCACCTTAGCAAGTTTGACTTTAGCATTAGCACTATTGCAAACAAACTGAAGTTCATGGCTGAGTTATTTAGCAATAGGTAGATATTCCGTGTCTAAAAGTGCAAAGTTGTTACAGACATACCCTTAAAACATAACAGCTGTAATTTCAGCAACCATATATTACATGACTTCCACTTTATAAAAATATATGGTACCTTGTCCTTGTCTATCATAAATACCCATAAAATGATGTTGGAATTTGTCCAGCTTCCAATCCAGTCCAGCCTTTTAAAAGCACTTTAAAACATAATACAAGACCAAATGCCATACATAATAAAATGAACTAAAATATATCAAAAGTATAAAATTAAAAAGGGAGGTGATCCAGTGGAAAAACAGATAATATGTCATGTTTTTACAAATTAAAACATATTTTTTGTCAATTTTAATAGGGTTGGTCAGACTGTATCATGATCTCTATGGTTTCTGAAATGGGTTGGAATATTTTAAACACTGCAAAACATTTTGATTTTTAAGACCGGGTCAGGAATATGGTGCCAAATTTTAAAAGAGGACATTCTATCTGGTGGAGGTACAGTGTGATACGCCTGCAGTCGTCGGCTCGGCCATTTTAACCTGCATTGATGCTTTTCAGGTGATCCCCGTAAGTGATACTCTGCTGGAAACTCTAGCTTTAGTCGGTCTGAAACCGGCACCGGGGGGGAATGCTGCTGCAGCTGCAGATCTCTTATCTATTAGTTATTTTCTATTAGGAAAACAGCTAGATGCTTATAAAAACCGTCTTACACAATTGCTTGTTAAAGACAAAAACTGCTGACTTTAATGTTAAAGCAACCAGCAGGTGGCAGGCAAGATGCAGCAACACATGTAACACCTTTGTGGCGCTGGAGTGAAATTTTAATCTACGTCCTGATTGTGCATTTGCATCAATCTTAATTATACGGCATGAGGCTATTTTTAATTATCCTATCTTTCCATCCAGTCTCAGGTTTCCCAAATAAAAACATAAAGGCGAAGAACCAAATAATAACGTGTCCCTTGGAAATCTGAGACCGCTCTGAAGGACGTTGCTAAAAGAAAAGGAAACGTTTGGGGACTGCAACCAAGGAATTCAGGAAGCAGAGATGATGTACAAAGGCAGTGGGTGACCTTTTACTGGAGGACACACTCTCAGCTGCTATAACGTCATCCACCGCAGCCTCCATCTGCTGCCACTAGAGGACGAATGGTGGGCAGCGTCTGAAGTGCCAAGGCACACTCCTGACCTGAATTCAATGGGAAAATCCGTACTCAATTTAGATCCAAATATGGTGTCTCTACAGTGCTGCGCACAATACAAGATGGAAACCGCAGCCGTTTTGACAGAATAAGATAAATCCGGGGTTCCCATTGTCAGGACTTCTTCTTTTTCTATTTTTTAGTAATGGTACAATACTAATCTAGATATAGAATCAACGAGACATCTATGTCACAAAGAAGTTAGCTATTTTGCCAACGCAGCACTCCCGTGACTTGAGTACTCTGATATTGGTTCAGAAAAACAATGGTGAACCTTGACCTTATGGGTAATTATTACAAATTAACCTATACAATCTGAATACAGTAAGTTAAATTTACTTTAAAAAAGCATGTTTATCTTGCACTACCTTCTTGGTGAGGAAGCTCTGGCTTCTCATTTCTGGCCATCAGTCACGACCAGCTTTCTTTAGCTGGTGTACTGATCAAACACACTGTTAAAACCTAACCAGTGAGACTTGTTTAAAAATGTGTGTTTATTTATTTTTTTGGTAGATTTGAACCAATACGTCTGCGAAGACATCATGTGAGTTTAAAGGTTAAACCGACCGATTTCTAAAACCAACTTAATTACCGAGATCATTTGGCTCATCAAAGGCAAACATTAATAATGGCTTTTGGATGAAGGCATACAATTTTACTAAAGTACTGCTAAACTTTTCAAATATAAGGTGAACTGTCAACATTGTCCTTGGCAAATATAGCTAAAATTTGCTTCTCAGTCACAACGGTAATCTTAGGTTTGAGTTTTAGCTGGATGTAAACTTAAATTCTCTCCCTAACACAGAAACTTGCTCGATAACAAGTTTTGTGACGGGTTCTTAACGTTATTGACTTGATAATACCCTGAATACCTGGGTACAAAACAACCAAAATGTTTTCAGGCGACAACAGGGACATTTTGTACCAACCGTATGTCAATTGTTTAAAAAACCAGCTTCGATGACTGCAGACTTAGTTAGGTTTAGTTTTCTGTAAACAATTGTGGTTTTATGACTCTACTAAGTAATAACAGCCTCCAACTGGAATGTGCTTAGTTACTTTAGTTTCAACAGGAAGTCATAATCCATCATGTGTCATAGGGGAGCTTCAATCAGTGGGAAGAAGGCAAAAGAAATATCAAGAAAAAATTGGTAATTTTATTAAAATACTTGTAAGTTTTTTCAGATATGAAATGGTGCCGGCTGCCTTGAAATGCTTTGTACTGTACATCTGGACATTTCCTACTTGTCTAGTGAACACGTGGATCCTTTCTGCCTGCGTAAATCTTCACATGTAGCACAGTACTTTACGACAGAAATACATAACTTTAAATTTGAAAGCTAATTTAAATGAACGTTATCATCATTTATTATTCTTCATTTTTTGCCATAATCATTCATACCATGTGATATGAGAAGCATATGCATGACACACATTTCTGATTGTCCTTTGGGCTAAACGTCTAATGAAACAAGACACATTATGACCTCAGATCTGATGGTAGATTTGAATTTTTGGAGTCGTATAACCAAGTTTCCAAGTTCATCGATGGTTGAAGTGAAAACACAGCAGATTACATCTAAAAAGAGCAAGATATGAAATTATCAAAGCTATAAACATATGATGAACCACATCGAATGGCAACATGAAGGTACAAACGGGATATGAATGGAAGGGCAAATTGACTTCACCATTTTTGAGCATTACACATTTAGACTGTGCATTATCAAAATGTATGTCTATTAGCTTATATTTAATACCCTCCACATTTTTTTATAGTGTAATGATTTGAATAAATAGGTTGTTTGGTGTAAAGGTGAACATTGTTTTGTGTAATCTATGACTCACTGATACTGCGCCTTACTTGCTTGTGCACTACAGGCACAATGGCTCCTTGGTATTATAAACCATATGAGCCTACACCTGTCTGAGGTCATGACCCGCACTAAGGAGCACCCTCGGGACCCCAGCTGGCATCCATCAAGCGTTCCTTACGCCCAGACCATAAAGTCGTTCTCCACCATCGGATACACGCCGCACTGACTTGTTAGAACATTTCACGAAGCAGTAAATCCTAAAAACAAAACCTGCTTAAAACACGCGTGTTTTCCCCCCGCCACTGGATGCGGCGTGAATTCTTCAGCGTGACGGCTTTCTCGTCCGGGATAATGCCGACTCTGCAGCAGAAGGCTGTGATGCAGCCCCGCAGAGTTGCAGCGTCTGCAGTGCCGAGTGAGTGACCTTGTTCAAGGTCGCGCTGACAGCACCGGGAGTTTTCCCTCTAGTGAGTCGCGAGCCCGGCCCGCCACGCGCATGTGACCACATGGAAGATCCAACAGCTCCGACGCCGCGCGCGCGAGAGAGAGTCGGGGCAAAGCGAGCGTGACCGCGTCGGTTCCGACCACACAGGCGAACAGGGACCGGGCTATATTTAGAAGCAGATAATGGTGGAGTGTCAAGAGTGGAGGGGTATACACGTACCAAACTCCCAGTTTGAAAAATATTATATTTATTTCCTGCCGTAATTTAAGAACGTGAGTCACCGTTGAAGGTTAAACACCCTCTTTTGGGAACTTTACTCTTCTTCAGTCAGCCTGGAGTCCAGCTGTACTGATATGCGGATGTCTACAAAGTTTGAACAGAAAAAAACAAAATCACAGTGCAAAAGAGCAGCCCTATTGTGTTTCCCAGTATTCCCCAGCTTAACCCAATTTCAGTGAACTTGTGAACCTTTCTTGCCCGAACTCTATCCAATCGGTGCTACGGTGGACTGAGCCCGGTCACTGCCATAA